CCTCCGGATGACCAGCTTCGTCGTGGTCTTCGTTTGGGTCGTCCTCCCAATCCCGTTCTTTCTCCGGCTCGGATCCCACTTCTACACCCTCTGAGCCAACCTCTGGCCCCTTATCCATGTGCCATTTCCGGTAATCGTTGGGTGATGCGGCGAAGACGTGCAGGAGCTCGAAGAAGAATGGAGCCAAAGCTCGGTATTTGTCGGCCAGTTTTGACGGGTCTAGAAGCTCGCGGATGCCAGAAATGGTGAGGTCCTTGATTCGAATCTGTAGGGACATGTCTCCGATTACCCTATCGCGGTCCTGAAGCACTGCGGCCTTTGCGACGGGGGTAATCATCAACAGAATTTGTTCCCGCTGCACTGGAGTACTGCATCGTTGCACCCATAGTGAGAAGATGTGTGCGGCCGGGAAGAGCGGCCAGTAGGATCAGTATGGGTAGGTGTATATCCCAGGAACCGGGCGGCGCGATCCTTGACAGGCTTCATGTCCGTGGTGAAGATAAGTCTTAGATAAAGCTCAGAGGTGCCGAACGGAGACTCCGAGAAAGATGACCAGAGAAAGTATCATGTGTAGTTTGGTGTCCAGAGGTAGTTTAGAGACATCTCCCAACTTGTCTGTCCAGTATTCCTCATTGAAATCGTCCATGGTGAGTGGCAGGACGCGTTAATCGATTATCAGCGTGGTCCCAGGTCGATCGCGTTCAGTCACAGCGTGATGATGTGTGACACTAATTAACGAACTTGCAGATGAGTTTTCTGACGTGTCGCAAGATCAATGCAATAAATCTGAAGAGACAGGAACACATTAAGTATGGTTTCCTTGCAATCGAGCCCATAATAGGATGTGTTTGCATTAATAAGACTACGAGAATTGGTGTCTTGCGATTCCCATCAGCGGTCGATCAATGGACTCCCAATGAACTAAATCGGAATCCTGAAAATAGCGAGGGTATCGGAGATGACTTTTAGACATATCATGAACAACTTTGTCTCTCAATTTTGGGGAGAGGCAACGTGATGATGTTGAAAATTGACTTCAAAGGTCCTGACTATTTTGATTACTTTGTCCCAAGCCTCTCTCCGAGATTAGCCGGGTCGCCGGCCCGGAGACAGGCTTGCTCCGAACCTAGATGCGGATGCGGGTGTCGAGACGAGGAGATGCAGATACAGTGTTGTTACTATGGACAGCGTTGGCGTGTCGTGTGCGTTGGTGCGGTGGAGGGAAAGGAGTGCGGGAGGTGCTGCATTGGGTGCAGCGAAGGATGAAGGGGAGGTTGTGACGAATCACGATGCGGGCGGGTGAAGGGCACGAGTCTGAGGGCGAAAGAGGAACGAGACACCGTTATGCGCGATGAGCGAGATTATGTGGGGTTGCGGAGTGTGCGGATATCGATGACCGGGCCCGAAGGAGCGCGTTTTGTCTAAGCGGTCGCGCGTAGTGATGTTCTGGCCTTGGCTTGGCCTGGAAGCCATGGCTTTGGCCCGCTTTCGAGTGGCTTTGGCTCGTCAATACCCGAAGCCAGGCCAAAACTTTTGGCTCTGGCTTGGCTTGGCCTGGCTTTGGCCTGAGCCATGGCTTTTCGGCGGAATTCGGACCACAACAAAACCGAGGTATGTGTCGTCCAAATAGGGTCTTGAGAGCCTCAATATGTGCTGTGAAGCCCGTGTAGCGTCAACTGCGGGATTATCTTGTCGCAACCGGCGGAATGAGATGTCACCATCAATATCTGACGCGTGAATTCGAGCTCCCACCAATGGTTTGGACCAAATAAGAATGCCTGGAACATTTCCAGCCAGTACAGATACCATAGTGAGTGCTGGAGATTTTCTGTGAGTGATATCTAAGTGGAATTTGGATATCTTGTTCGCCAATCTACGATGTTCGAAGGGGGGTCTAAAAGCCATGGCTTTATGGCCCGGCTTTGGCCTAGAATACATCGGAGCCGGGCCAAAAGCCATGCGAGGCCAAGGTTTTGGCTTGGCTTTGGCCCTGGTACCAAAGCCAAAAAGCCATGGCTTTTTGGCCTGAAGCCAAAGCCAGAACATCACTAGTCGCGCGAAAAGTTAAAACTGAAGGCGCCATTCGCACATGCAGGAAGTGCCAATCGAACGGTAAAGAAGAACGCCGAAAGAACGCACGAAACGCGCCACGGCACGCGTGATCACAAGCTTGTGGATGCGGGCAGGCATAGACGCCCCATCGTCGCATTGCGGCAGGAGCACATTGATGATTGGGCGGAAGACACGGTGTCCGGTGGTTGGAAAGGGCAGCTTCGACATGCGCACGTTTCGACGGTTTCGCACTTGGATACTCTCGGACAGCCATCACGGGGAACGTCTCTTTTTGCGCCATAAAAACACAGAGACCGACCTCAAACGACCCACCGGAGCCTGGGCCCTCCCAACTCCACACCACACGCATCACACGCAGAGTCTTCTGTCTTTGTATCTATCCGGAGGCGAGTTCAACCATCTCCTAACCGCGGTTGAACAAGGCTCGTACGATTCTGTAGCCGATCGTGGGTCGTACCTATTTCGTCTCCGTGGTAGGAACGAACCAGACGGTGGATCTTTTCTATAGCCCCAGCCGGAATCGGCGTTATCGAACCGGCTCCCAGGAACACGTTTATACTGGCCGAAATATCACATCCCTGCGTGAGGCTCTCAGTGATTCAATCAATGTCTGGACGCAGTTGCAATTGAATGTAGTTGCCCTGCTCTGACTCCTGAGCGTTGCCGTTGCATGTTTTTGTCCGGGGAATGAACAAACGAAAGGCGACTCCAAAAAATCGTACCTTGAGGCTCGAGGTCCTTAAGGCCTTGTGACTCAACCCGGAATCGAACCGGCGCCTGCCTCGCCGGCGCTATGGATCTTGTTATGCCTGGAAAGGAGCTTGGGTAGATATATAAGTGCGGAACAAACTGAACGCAGAACCGGATCCGAGTTCAACTGGGCCTTGATAGCATTTAACAATAGCGCGTCACCGACCCTACCTTCTGCCTGTCCACTCGGTTACGCCGACACCGCGGAAGAGAGAAGTTTCGACGCACGGCTCGGCCTTGATGCGCAACTTGATGATAATAATAATAAATAATAAAAATAAAGGTTGAACTGTTTTCTCGACGCGGTGGAATGAGGTTCTTGGGAGCTTGGCCTTGCGACTCGTTGCGGGTTTTCAGTTGGCAGTGATGCAGGTTTTCAATTGGCAGTGATGCACCTGTATGGACGCAGCGAACCTGTATGGACGCAGCGAATGAGTTCGAGACTGAACTGCAAAAAGAACTCATCATTCCTTCCAGGACCCCGGCCGGAATCGAACCGACTCCCAGCATCGAGTTGATACTGACCGTAATACAGTAGGCGCGCCACGGGTCTTGGAGCTCCTACGCGAGTCCCAGGATCTGGCCATGAACGCGTGGTGGAACTCGGTTCTCGTGACGAGCGAGGGCTGCGGCAGTGGAATGAAGGAACGTCCAGCAAGCAATTGCGACTGCAAAAAAAAAAATCGAATAAAAAGGACTCATGACACCTCTCAATAGGGGCAGTCAGAGTAAAGGATTGTGGACGGATTATGAGCAAATATTATGGAAGGATTATGGAATTATTTAAGCGTGGGATAATCCTTCAGAATCCATAATCCTTCATAATCGCATAATCCGCATAATCGACTCTGGAGTCGATTATCCAAGGATTATGGATTATCGTTCCCTTCAACTCTTACGACGACTACAAACTTTTTGTGACTCTGCTGACAAAGGAAATTTACGATCTCATTCTGTGTTTTGTCTCCCCTCTGTCCCTATGATCATGCCTAAAGTGTCTACAACCCCTCAACCACGCAAAGCGAGAACCAAAGCGAGACTCGGGAGCAACAACAGCTGCAGCCATCGCGGCTGCGGAGAGCAAAGAAGACGAAGAAGAAAAAAAAGCGAAGAAGCGTAAGCCTGGCCGACCGCGCTGCCGACCTTTGCTGTTCCGTACATATGCCTTGAGGAGAGCCTCAGTACGGCGTGTGCATCGAGACACTGCAGGCATTTGGGTGGGTGCGCAAGAAGGGATCGGCAGTGGCTGTACGGGACACAATGTCAAGCCGGTTACTTTCCAAGCATAATCCGGATCATAATCCAAGTGTTTTTTGGGCGGTCAGAGTAGACAAGGATTATGGCAAGCATTATGACGGATTATGATCTTTTAAATTCCCTTAATCCTTGCATAATCCTTCCCATAGTCCGCGCGTAATCTGTCCATAACCTTTTACTCTGACTGCCCCTAATCACGCCCAACCTGGAATCGAACCAGTGCCTGCCTTGACATGAAGGTCCCTAATATCGGAAGCAGGCGCGCCCCAGCGTTCTAGGTCGTTTTCCGACTGAACAGGAGCTTGGACAAGGGTGGTAGTAATGTCGTACGGGAAAGAATACATATGACACTGATCCAGCTCGTGACCCAACCCTGAATCGAACCGGGCCCTGCCTGTGATTACAAGCCAGTAAGCTATCGGACACAGGCACGCACCACCGCTATAGATCCTGTTTTCTTTGGCAAGGGGGAGGTTCGGCGCGTAATCAACGAGGATACGAAACTGGAAAGGAGGAAAAGAGGTGAAGAAATTCATTGAGCTTGGACGAAAAGACAGTGGACACTACCCAAACCGGAACCGGGCAGCTCCAAGTATTGGATGCCCAGTCATGGTAAGGACCTTGGTGCGGTGGAAATTCGAAGGAGACACTCGGACAGTCATCAATACAGGAAAAGGCTTCAACTGAGCTCAGATTCTTTGAATGTGTTGCAATAGTACGGGAGACTAAGTCTACCATCAAGCGGAAATTGAATAATAATTACACCCATTCCAAAATCAAACCAGCGCCTGCTCAAATCCGCCTTCCGAGCCCGTTTTGCAGATGCGCGGCAGCGCCATGGGTTCAAACATTCAAAGTCAAATTGCGCTCGAACTAAAAATACGACCAAGCAAAGCAACAACCGGTCTCTTCCCATCATCGGGACTGTAGTGTAGGGGTTATCGCGCTTGCTTCGCATGCGAGAGGTCTCCGGTTCAATTCCGGACAGGTCCATCCTTTTCCCCCCGAGTCGTACGACACCCGCCGCACCTTCGCGCCCTCTCAGACACCCTTTCTTTCCAATCAAACTCTTCACCAACCCTGAAATTGATGACAATCGTTTTCTGTTTTCTTTGCACGCGCTCTGGATTTGGCAATGCCTTTCCGGGAGGTCGCGAGTTCGGTTTCTTTGCTAACACTTTCTTGGCAACATTAGTATTCATAAGTTCGTACCGTGCAAATGCGGCAGTTCCAGGCAGCGGTGTAAAGCCAGAGTTGAACCGAACCTGGGATCGAACATCAGCGACGAGTCGTACCTGAAGAAGATGTATTGAAGACCAAAGTCAGGGTGGAATCTGGATCAACCCAGATCCTTTCGAGTACTGTGGGATTGAACACACCGGCTCTGATATCGGTGGGCCGGCCTTGCATCGGGCACGAATGAACTTGTCTTCGAGAATGTTAATGGTGTGCCAGAGGACCTGCTTCATTCAACTCGGTTCAGTACAGCGCGATCGATGTTAACGTTGTTGCTCGAAATAGGGTGACGGATACTTCAAGCATGAGTTGATTCGCATTAATATTTAGTCAGTATCCAAAATCGAGTTGGGAATTACAAAGCCGGTCATGTCAGCCAAAGAAAGCAGACGCCTCTCGTTAATGAACGGCAACCACGGGATACTTGAGCCATGGCGACAACTACTGTAAATGTTCTCATCTTCCATTTGATTTGTAGGCTCAGTCCACCCTAGATACAAGAAAACAAACTGCAGGAACCCCGAAATCAAAGTCGATCGCGTTTGAGATTCGCTGTGCGAGTCTATAGCCCCACTGCTGTCTTGAGCAGCGCAAAGTCCGGCGTTCCGAGGCCAGTGACGGGATCCCAGCCAGAGCCGGCGGAGAAGCCACTGGTAAAAAATGTCAGTGCGATTCTCAACCAATACCATAAACACAGAACATACTTGGTGCTGCAGCCCGGGTTTGTGCCTGCAGACGTGATCGTTGATGAGGCTTATGGTAAAAGCGAGAAAGGTAATCACGCACCCGACGTGACGTCCTTGAACGCCGCGCGCCCGGCGTCGCTATACAGGAAGGGGTTGAGGAAGCCAAGGGGCGACTTGCCTGCGGCGATGAGCTGGTCGTTCAGGAGGGAGATGATAGACGCAAAGCTCGGGGCGCTGCAGCTTGTGCCGTCGACCGTCCCGGTGGATGCATCTGCGAATGGCTGTTAGGACACGAATAACACATACAGACAGAGCTGAGACCGCACCCCATGCAATCTCAAAGTTCTCTCCCTGTACCGCGACATCGGGGAAGCCGCGGCCCGACGCGTTGTACTTGCCTGCGTATGTAGTGCCAAGGGTGGCAACGTAGGCAGCTACATCCGCGGCCTGGTAATCCGGGATCGGGAAGTAGTTGGAGAAGCCTGACGAACACTAGTTTAGGGCCGTGCGCAGGAAAAGAGGAGACGGCAAGGAAATACCTCCGGAGGAGAAGGTGGATGCAACTTCAGTGATTCCGCCGACGGAGCCGATAGAGGTGACGCTAAAACTATCATCAGCGACGAGTCGTACCGGAAGAAGATGCATTGTACAAGGGGCAGTCCGAGGGGAGGGTGGGTATAAACGTCGTGCTAGGGACCGAATCAGATATTTCGCACCGAGTCGAAAACGAAGAGAACTTGCCAGGATTGTGACTGACTGCCGGAAACTCCCCCTAAAACAAACTCAATAGAGGGTCGATAGTGCGAAGGATCACTGACCGTCACCGGACGAGAAGATAAGCGTGGTGCCCAGAGCGCCAAGCTGCATGTAGGCATTGCAGAGCGTGCTGTACCGATGAACATCAATACGCGGGGACCGCAGAAATCAAGGCAATGCGCACTTCGCAACAGGCAGCGTTAGGTCGGACTCGTCAAAGCCGTAGCTCGTCGTCAGGACGTTAGGGCGGTCTGTCTCGTTGATGAGGGTCGTGATGATATCTCTGTCGGCTTTTGCATCAGATCCGCCCAGCGCATCTGGACCGATAGTACGCACAGGAAACCGTCAAGGCCGTCTGAGCCGTTCTCGCCCACGGAGATGAAGGTAACAGGGACGCCTGTGGCAACGCCGACGGTGTACTGAATATCGAGATTCTGTATTGGTGCAGCCAAATCAGCGAGCCAATCCACAAATGGCTGGGTGAGATCACACACCGCCTCAACACCAGCCTGGGACCGCGTCTGCGTGTTAACACCTCCGTCAAGGGTTTGAAGAGTAAAGTTCGTGGTGGATGGAATATCGGTGCGGAAGGCCGTGAGGAATTGCTGTGAAGAGGAGCGTCACAGAGAGGCCAAAGAATTTCGAGCATGAACATACCTTCAGGTCTAGCAAGTTAGCCCATTCCTGAGATAAATATGTGAGCCATGAAACGTGTGGGCCAATAATAAGGAACGTACCAAGATGAATCCCGCCACGCCAAGCGTGTTCGAAGGTTCAGTCGCCACAGTTGTGGGGATGTTGTACAGCGCCTAATCATGTTGTGAGCAAAGATAATTAGATACAAATTAGATATGTCGACGACGAACAACACACCTGCAGACACGCGGGTGTGATGATCGAATCGCACGACGCGGGGACTGCGTCGCTGACGGGGGCGGCATCCTCAACCACCTCCGGCTTGGCACGCACGGCCTTGAACTTTGGAATGGAGCCGATAGGACGCGTGAAGCTGAGCGTAGGGTGGAAGAAGTCGATGTGACCCTGCAGGGACGCGGGGATCGAGTACTGGAGCGTGCGGATGCTTGTCGTGCCGCTTTCGACGTGGGTGAAGACGGAGAAGTCGGCGGCGAGGAGATCGTTTGCCTGCGAGACGGGGATGGTGATCTCGAGCATGTCGCCGGCGGGCGTGACTGGCTTTGCGGCGATGCTGTTCTCGGCGAGCCATTCAGTGACCGCGGCGAGGGTATCGTCGGTCGGTTTCACGAAGGTGGCAACCTAGACCGCGAAACCTCGTTAGATCCGTCACAGAGGAGCAAAATAATTGTAATATTACCTCGTCTGGCGTCAGGTGCTGGCCGTATTCTGTTCGAGGAGTGCGTTAGAACCAGAGATGGTACAAGAAATTCAAACGCACGCGCGGAGGCGGGGTCGCTGACTTGGTAGAGCATAGTCTCAAGTCCAGTAATGTCCGTCTGTTTGAGCGCAATGCGGAGAGTCAGCTCTTTCTCGGCGGGAGCCACGCTCGACTTGACGAAGCCCCGGGCTGGCTCTGCGCGCGACTCGTGGACGGACATCGTGCGCCGTCCCATGGGTTTCGCCACGGTGAGCAGAATGAGGGACGCAACAAAGCTGGCGGCGAGGACCATCGTTGGAGGTTGGACCAAGAGGGTGCACGTTGTCTCGCTGGTATCTGACGGTATATAAAGGCCGCCCACGGACCGGGAGCGCGCGATCGGAAGGACATAGAAGCACATACCGTATGGCTGATATCTCCTTGGCATGGACAAAGGGAGGTAATTAGCCCCGGCTGCAGCTTGGAGACCGATTATTTGGACTCCGTCGAAGGAAGAAATTTGGATCGAGCGCCGTCGTGTATACACACCCAAGGCAAATCCACATACAATAATTTTGGTGCCTCTGCCCTTCAGATTGAGCGTGAGTGAAGTTCCTCCAGCTCCTGCGGAGACGCTTTAACTGACTGGCAACGGGATTTGATTGAGTCTATGTTCAAGTGACGGGTTTGTGTTATCTTTCCCCGGAATACTCTTTTCAGTCGGGGCCCGATTGCGACATGCGTCAATTGAGGATTGGAAGTGGGCAAACCCCATGAGGAGCCGAGTACATAGTTTTTGCAGCCACCTTGCGAGCGAGTGGACGACGGCCAGGAATCTACCAGGCACGGACGCCAAAATCAACAGATCTTGAGTTTTCGATGGCCCTCGTATGCGAGGGCGGCGCATTGTGCATTCGGCTCCCGGAATTCCGTCATAAGGGTGCGAGATAGCTCCAGAGAGTCGGTGCCTCAAAGTCCGGTGGAGATCCTGCCGGTTTATATCAGAGATTCACGAATCCGAAAGCGTCAAGTATTGCTTGCTTCGTTTGAATCGATGAATTTCATTAGTCTCTCTAGACAGACGCTCTATCAGTACCAGCTCGTACCTCGCTTGGACTGCAGTAACTTGACACAGCGCAGCGCAACCTTAGCAGGGTTGGTAACTTTGCAAAGGTCGCAAGGCAGCACTCTTCCCATAGGTAGCAGAACGATAGAGTTCGTGGACATGACCAAGGGCAAGTTTGGTGGACGTGAGGGGATGTGATGATGGCTGTGCTCATCACTTTGTCCTAGCATTCTGCACAGCCTTCCGGCAACTCGGCTCTCTCCCTTTTTTCTGCTTTTTTCCTCACCCTTACCTTGGCCTCGATAGGAAGTCTTCACTGAGGCCCTGTCGCCATTGAATTCGCATGGAACGCCGAACCGCTGTCAATCTCCCTATGGACCCTCGGCGTCTCACTTTATCTGCCCACCTCAAGCAAACCTCAAGTGCTAGTACTTAGGCGGCCATGCCTTCGCGGCCCAATCGGTACCTATCCCGTTCTACTTACACGAGGTAAACGCCAGGCCCTGATCGCCTCGTTTACATCGCGCGGTATCTTCCGCTGCGTACCTCGAGCGCTCCTTTTCGTCCTCAAGGCTACACCCCTCTAAGATCGCAGAGACTGTAATTTGCAAGCATCGACTCGGAGCTCGAGTTGAATCGTACTTCGGTATAGAAATCTCGGACACCCCATCTCCGCGTGCCGGATACTCCGATATTGTCTACGAGCGGACGGACCCACAACCACTTTGATCGGCCACCATTACTCACTTCTTTCTGCGTCCACGACCCTCAGTCCTCACCATGGTCAAAATTCCCCTGGAAATGGTGGAGGCCATCATCGACCACATGAAGTCGGACACCGCCGCACTCAGAGCTTGCGGTCTTCTCTCCCGACAATGGCTGCCCAGAACGCGGTATATCTTGTTCTCGGCGATCT